TTTTGAATGCTGGACGCCATTTTGTTGCACGTGCTGCTGCAAACTTTGCAGTGCAAAGCCAGGCTGGGGAGCCATCTTAAGTTGAGGCTGCATAGGCCTTGTGGTGCATGTGATTCAGATTCTATTCAGTTGAACCTCTGGTTACAAAGTTGGTTGGACAGTGTTCTCTCAGCTACCAGCATGAGTTTGACCAGACTGCAGGAGGACAGGAAGACTGGAGTGCCTGGAACAGGTGAGGCTGCAGGTCCCTTATTTTGGCTGCTGGTCCCTTATTTTCAAGGCTGCTGGCCCCTTATTTTCAAATCTGTAAGTTGACAGCTATGGCTCTTTGGTCCCTTCTGCAGCACAGATTTAAATTGATTTCCCCCACTTGTGGCTCCCTCTGCTCCTCAAAAGACCTGAGCAGATCCAGTCGAACCTCGGTTGTTGAACGGAATCCGCTCCAGAAGCCTATTCGGCTTCCGAAATGTTCGACAACCAAGGCTTGGCTTCCGATTGGTTTCAGGAGCTTCCTGCACTCGGCAGAAGACGTTTTGGACGTTTGGCTTCTGAAAAATGTTCGAAAACCGGAGCATTTACTTTCGGGTTTTCGGCGTTCGGGAGACGAAACATTCTGAAACAGGCATTCGGGGTCCGAGGTTTGACTGTACAGTTCTGCAGTGGGGGCGAGGTGTGTCTGTAAACATGGAAAATAATAATAATAATCCCAGGGTTATTTGAGGGAAGCCATTTTGATTTAAGCCAAGTCATGCTTTGATACAGTAGAGGTATCGCTAGCCATTGTACAGGTGAAACTCGAAAAATTTGAATATCGTGGAAAAGTTCATTTCTTTCAGTAATTCATCTTCAAAGGTGAAACTAATATATGAGAGAGACTCATGACATGCAAAGCAAGATATGTCAAGCCTTTATTTGTTATAATTGTGATGATTATGGCGTACAGCTGATGAAAACGCCAAATTAACAATCTCAGAAAATTAGAATATTGTGAAAAGGTGCAGTAGCTATTCAACCCATAACAGCTGCAATGGGTTCCTGAGCCTTTAAGCGGTCTGTCAGTCATCACAATTATAACAAATAAAGGCTTGACATATCTCCTTTTCACCTTTCAACTTGAATTACTTTTTACCTTTTAACTTGAATTACTGAAATAAATGAACTTTTCCACGATATTCTAATTTTTCGAGTTTCACCTGTATTTTGCCTGACTTTATGAGATGGTCAGGTCATTGCGAGAGCCCAGAGTAAAAGTGTGCTTTTACCATTTTGCTTAGACTATGGTTGTGGGTGTTGCAAAAAAATTGGGGGGTTCTGAATGTGGGAGTCACAAGCAGCCTCACATCTCTGACCTTTTTAAAGGGTGCATAGCCTACCCCCCCTTTTTTTAACGAAGGAATGCTAAAGCTGGCCAGAAATAGTGCAGGGACTGTTTTCTGAAAGAAGACTCTGGCGAAAACTTTGGTTAGGTTTTCCTAATCCAGTCTATGTCCTCTGTATATCTGAGATGCTCTTCATCCCATGCCTTGCTTCACGAATTTTGCAAATTTGGGAATCTCTGGCTGTGCTTTGAAAGCTCCTGGGTGCTGTTAGGGTAGGGGGTCAGCAAACTTTTTCAGCAGTCGGCCAGTCCACTGTCCCTTAGACCTTGTGTGGGGCCGGACTATATTTTGGAAAAAAAATATATGAACGAATTCCTGTGCCCCACAAATAACCCAGAGATGCATTTTAAATAAAAGCACACATTCTACTCAGGTAAAAGCACGCTAATTCCCGGACCATCTGTGGGCCGGATTGAGAAGGCGATTGGGCCAGATCCGGCCCCCGGGCCTTAGCTTGCCTACCCATATTTTAGGGCATACGTTGAAGCGAGCAACTGTATCTGTAGTCAAAAGAGTCTAGGCATTTGGGCAAAGATGGAGAGCAGACAGGTGAGTCCTTCGAAACAACAAATTTCCTCCAAAACCCATAGGAAGAAATGCCCAAATCGCCACCTACTGTGCCAGAAGGCAGGAGAAGTTATGTTTATGAAAAAGTTGGGAAAATGCCACCATTACCTGCCAGAGTGTTTGGTGGCTGTCACTTGAAATCACACAAGAACCTTTGGTTTACACTATGTACTGACAAACCTACAGCACTTGGTTCAATTTCAGTGTAATCATTGTGGTTTGGTTTAAGAAGGCATCCTCGTTCCGAAAATTCCTGTTTGCAGGCGCAACATAAGCCGTGAAATTGGGGTTGGGGGGGAACAGCGTGATTTCACAGGTTTGTGCTGTCAGTCTGGAGTGGAAGTTTATCCATGAAAAGAACTCTTAAATAATATTTCAAATTTATCGCGGTGGGTGGTTCAAAGATTTCTACTGGAAGAATGATACTACTACGCCACAATCCTGATAATATTGTTTCTAGTTTGCTTGTGTATTCCTACAAATTGTGAGTGGTGCGGTGCTACAAATGGATTTGTGTTTCCATACAAAATGGTAACTGGTGCTTTTTGCCACACAGGAACCAAACACGCCTGTAACGCAATTCCGGCTTCTCAGAAGTCCTCTGGAGTCTAGTATTTTTCTAAAGTCACATTCAAGGAACTCAGGTTCTTGGGCGATGGATTGTTTACGGCTTGTTTGATGTTAAGTTTCCTGGAAAGCTGTTCATTAAAATATGAGTACTTTTGTCTATGACAGACTTCGGGTTTTTCAAATGTGTGTGCTGAAAACAAAGGGGGGAGCAACTTGCTCCAAAATCTTACATTTCTTTGGTTTCCATCAATACTTTTTGCCTTATTTGGGTGTCGAGTCTCCTTGAGTGTCAGTAAACTCTCTCCCCGGTTTAGAGCCCTTCATGGGGTTGTGCATGAAAATTAAAAGCAGGAAGCTTGTTGTATGTGTAAAAATTAAATTAAAAAGCCCAGCAAGTCAGGTAATTATGATATGATAATATAATATAATATAATATAATATAATATAATATAATATAATATAATATAATAATATAATAATGGAAAAAACACACAGGACATTTTTTTTTATAACCCTAACATGTTGACATTGACTGGAATGAAGAAAAAAAGAACATTGCAGTGACAAAAAGCAATAGATTTCGAGGAATTTATTTTTTGTACCAGGTGATCTTTATTTACAGAACCAAAAATTGGCTGGAATTTGGGAGCGCTGTTTACTACTGTGTCACAAACTAGGAGAAGTCCATTGTAAGTCTACTTCTGTGTAAATTCTGCGGCCATGAAGCTCACTGGGTGACCTTGGGACAGTCACTCGCTCTCAGCCTATCCTACCTTGCAGGGAGGTTGTGGGGACTGAATAGGGAGGGGAAGAACCTGTCGATTTGCAGAGGGCTGGGAGGCCAGCTGGCAAGCCCCAGCTGTGCCGTCTCCATCCGTCGGCCCATGCTCTGACGTAAATCAGCGACCCAGGCTTCAAAGCCCGGGCACGCTATCAGCAGAGAGAACTGCGGAACAGAATAGGCGTGAGGCTTGTGGAAGCATACTACAACTACAGATTTATTAATCATAAATTAGGACAAAGAAACATGTGGTCTCTCTCTCGTGTCGTCTCAGAACAGGAAAAGCAAAAGCAATACACACAATGGAAGTTCCCAGCATACTGTGCTGGAATGTAAACAGACATGTGACACATGTAGCTATATCAATTCATAGACACACACAAACACATTGCAAAGAGCAGAAATTTGCCCTGCAGCCTGAGTGGGGCCTGATTCTACTTGAGACCGGTCCCTGGCCATTATGGTCAACCCGAAGTCCTGAGCAGTTTCCTTCTCCACGATGTTGCCTTTGAGGGAAGCGCACAGAGAGGCAACCTGAGAAGGGGCCTGTTCAGTGGTGGCCCCGCACTTGTGCATGCTCTCCCCAGGACAGCATGCCGGTTCCCCCGTTGTCAGTTGTGAGGCAGCAGACAAAACCCACAGGCCTTTGATTTGCAGGTTAACCAGTTATGCCCTCAGCCTCTGTCCGGGCTCCTCATTCTTTTCCTTTTCCTTTTTTATTGGAAATCGTTTTTATTTGATTTTACAAATATAAATTTATAACAAAACCAAATGCATATAAAGAGATTACGGTACTCTGAATCTCAAGACTCCCCCCCCCCATTCCCCTCCATAGGTCCTACTGTCAACTTTTGCAACTGCTTTTCATAATCTATATTTTCCATCTCTCCATATTGTCCATAGTATTTGTTCCATTACAAGTGAGATTAAAATCCTGCTAATGTTTTCATCTGCCTATAGCACTCTCCTATATAAATTATAACCCCCCCCCCAATCTTTCTTGGAAATTTTTTGAATTCCTGGTTCCTGAGCTTTCCAGTCAGTTTTGCCATTTCGGAGTAGTTTTGCCATTTCTTTGCCATTTGCATTATTTTCTCATTTTTTATTTTGGGACGAGCGCTTTAGGTCTTGTTTTATTGCTGTATTTTTATATTGGTCTCTGTGCATCATGTTTCTATTTTTACCCTGCACGGGGCACCGTAAAAAGCGAGGAAAGAATGAGGATAATGATGGTGATGACAACAACAAAAATTACAGACTCCAAGGACTTTATTATACCAGCGAGAAGGGCTTGCAAGCAATAGCCAGAGAGGCTTGAGCCCAGCACCTCTTGATGCAGGAATTAGGTGCTGACTGTAGAAGACCGCGACACCCGAAAACTATTTAAAAGTAACGCCGAGGCTATTGTGAGTGGTGCAATCCCGATTTAGATCCCAGTCCTGTGAATGCCAGACTTTATGGTGACCGAAGCTGAATTTAGGGCGTGCCTGTATATATTCTGCGAAGCAGCTTCCTCTTGTCACCAGAAGAAGATGAGGATCCTTCTGGTTACGGTGTTGGCTGCCGTCCTTTGGTCAGGCAAAGGTGAGAAAGGAGACCTGTTTTCTTTGTGCATACACACCACCGCAAGGATCCTCGCCTTGCTTTGAGAACTGCACGGCAGGGAGACAAAAGTAAAATGATTCCCAGCGTGGATCACAGAATCGTAGAATTGTAGGACTGAGAAGGGACCACATGCGGTCATCTAGTCCAACCCCATGCAGTGCAGGAATCACAGCTGGAGAAACCCTGATGGTGTGGTGGGAGAAAGACTCACCTGTTGAATTTCCGCCCGACACGCATCTTTTCAAAGGCGGTGGAGTCGGGGAAGAATCTGGCAGTCCGAGAGATGGAACAACACTGGAATCTGATTAACTGGAGGCAGGGCAGAATGCGATAACTTATGGATAGAGTTCTTGCCGGAGAGAAATGAGAAGTGGGTTGAACGTGGCAGTTAGAATTCAGTGTTTGCAAGCGTGTTGGACAAGGATAATAGCCCCAGTCCAAGTGGTGTAAGAGAAGAGCTGTTGGATCAGGTCTCCTAGTCCGTTATCCTGTTCTCATAGGGGTAGACTGCCCCTGTCAGTGGAGGTACACCTTTAGTGGACAGCAATATATTTTACTGCGAGCGATGGGGGGCTTTTGCATTAATTCTCCTCGTCTTCCTCCTCCAGCTCTCTCGCTAAAATGCTACTCTTGCGCCACACATTCGAACAGCTCCCACTGCATGATTCCCACAGTGTGCTCAGAGCTTGACAAGTACTGCAAGACCACGGTTGCGCCATCGGAGACGGGTAAGTCGAGTCACGCCTTCGGAAAAGCAGCCACGCTCCCTGGCAGCTGGTTTGCATCCAATATCAGCGTGTGAAATGAGCGGTAAGGAAGAGGGGCAAGCAGCCAAGGCACTGATACTGAACCTGCCCAGCGTCGCCATAAAAATGTTTTAAACATTTCGCAAGTGCAAGGCTTGCATCGCTCTCACTCTCAGCCTTTGCATTGCCTTCCTTGCAATATGGATGGGATTTATTTGCATTAGGATTAGCAGAGTAATTAGTTTCCTTTTGTTCTTGTTTTTATTACGCATTTTGTGTTTTTTATATTGTAATTTTATGCTGTGAACGGCCCTGAGATCTACAGATAGAAAAAATGGTATACAAATTCAGTGCTTTTTTTCCTGGGAGAATGCAGGGGTACGCATACCCCTAAATCTTTGTACTTTTGTCCATTTACTGTATTTACTTTTCCCAATTGGAACTATAAAATGGTGGTTTTCTTGAGTCAAAATGAGAGTACCCCTAAACATTTTTTAAAGAAAAAAAGCACCATACAAATTTATTTATGTAGTAACAACAGCGTGGGTGGCGCTGTGGGTTAAACCACAGAGCCTAGGACTTGCTGATCAGAAGTTTGACGGTTCGAATCCCCGCGACGGGGTGAGCTCCTGTTGCTCGGTCCCTGCTCCTGCCAACCTAGCAGTTTGAAAGCACGTCAAGTGAAAGTAGATAAATAGGTACCACTCCGGTGGGAAGGTAAACGGCGTTTCCGTGTGCTGCGCTGGTTCGCCAGAAGCGGCTTAGTCATGCTGGCCACATGACCCGGAAGCTGTGCGCCGGCTCCCTTGGCCAATAAAGCGAGATGAGCGCCGCAACCCCAGAGTTGGTCACGACTGGACCTAATGGTCAGGGGTCCCTTTACCTTTACAACAACAACAACAAGAATAACAACAACAACTTTTTTTGCATGAACCTGAACTCTGTTCTTTGGTTCTATGTTTTGGAATTTTGGACTAAAATTCTGGATTCCTTGGCTATTTTGCCTGTACAACAACCACTTCTCTATGAGGGAAGATGAAAAAACAACAACTATCAATGAACCAGGAGGTCCCTTCTTCATGGTCTGCAGAAGGGACATCTTGGGTCATTTGGAAACTGCTCACATCTTCCTTGGAATGTGTGTACGACTCCTTAGATTTCTCTATCGCACTTGCCAGTGACCACACGGAGTCCATTCCTGGGTTAAAAACACTGGGTAAGGGCCATAGCTTGCTGGTAGAGGGTCCCAGGTTCAATCTTTGCCAGCATCTCCCGGTGGCTGCCAGTCAGTGTAGACAATACTGAGTCAGATGGACCAATGGTCTGACTCAGAAGACGGCAATTTCCTATGTCCCACTACAAGGGGTTGGGGAGCAAGCTCACTTCTAAGTAGGCAGGTGCTGCCAATAGTGCCTGCACCTTTTGCTTCCTAACTTTCCTTCTACAAAGGCTAGAAACTTACTTTAAAAACTCCCTGAAAGCTCAGAGTCGAGTTCCCTTGCTGGGTCTTGGCCCGCTACAGCAGAACCCCCTCTTGCTAGTAGAGACAATGGTTCATCAGGGATAGTTACAGTGGTACCTCTGGTTGCGAACGGGATCTGTTACGGAGCAACCTGAAAGGAACGCAACCCGCATCTGCATGTCTGCGCACGGGCGGGTCGCCATTTGCCACTTCTGCGCATGCGTGTGACGTCATTTTGCGCATCTGTACATGCACGAGCGGCAAAACCCGGAAGTAACCCTTTCCGGGTCCCTTCTGGGTCGCCGCAGGACACAACCTGAAAACGCGCAACCTGAAGCAAATGTAACATGGGGTATGACTGCACAGTGGTACCTCGGGTTACATATGCTTCAGGTTACAGACTCCGCTAACCCAGAAATAGTACTTCGGGTTAAGAACTTTGCTTCAGGATGAGAACAGAAATCGTGCTCCGGTGGCGTGGCGGCGTCGGGAGGCCCCATTAGCTAAAGTGGTGCTTCAGGTTAAGAACAGTTTCAGGTTAAGAACGGACCTCCGGAACGAATTAAGTTCTTAACCCGAGGTACCACTTGTATCAGGAAACAGGGAATATCCTTGTCAATGGGGACAGCTGGAACGCATGATCACATTTCTCTGGAACTTCTCAGTAGGATTAAGTCTTCTGGGTAGGGTTGGGTTTCCTAGCAACAACATGTGCCAACATCCCTTCGTTCTCAGATGAGGTCACAAGCTGCAAGGTTGCCTATTGATTATGGATTAGGATGTGGGGAGCCAGAACAGCATACCAGGAATGGGTGAGCCTTCTCCTTAACTCCCCTCCCTCTCCTTTGCTATTTCTTCGTTGATCAAGGCTCCTCAAGCACGGCACATGTCTCCAAGACGTGCGCGGCGGAATGCACCGAAATCAACCACCACGGCGTTTCCACCTCCTGTTGCCAGAGAGACTTTTGCAACCGGAACGGAGCGGCCAGAACGTGGCTCGGCAACGTGGAGCTGGCCATCGTGGTTCCTCTTGCCAGCGCAATTCTCTGGGTTGGAGCTTGAAGCTTCGGGCAAAGAACTTTCACCCAGATTGTTCTCCTTTTCTATTTGTGGGGCCATAAAACTATAGATCACATTCACTGGGGGGCACTGGGGGTGGGAAATTGAATTCTAAGTTCATTTCAAAGGAACATTCCTGTCCTAAGTGCATTTTCTCTGAAGTTAAAGTCCTGTGGATTTGATAGAACTAAATTTGGGTGAGCCTCCTTAGGATTCCCCAGTCTTGTTTTAATTCCCATCCTCAATTGGTTATAATCTGTATGTGAAAAGTGTGTTTTCATCAATAAAACACAGGGGTCCAGCCATGAGAAATGGATGTAAGCTTGACAATTTTGGGGCCTCTTTTAGAGAGGGATCCACGAGCCTGTTGATTTCGTTTCCTCGCTTTCCGAACCTTAAATTTAGTTCTCCGCATTGCTGCATTTACCTGTGATTTTAAAAAAGCCCTCTCAAAACTTTATTGGCATTTTATCGCATATTTTCCTCATGCACACACATTTTTTGCAGGCAATCCCCCCCCCCCAATATAAAGATTTTTTGGATGTCATTTTCATGAATATATGCATTTTTATGCACACGAGCAGCCGAAAGGCAGATTGTAACCTTGGCTAACAAATTATTATTATTATTATTATTATTATTATTATTAATACCCTGCCCTCCCCAGCCAAGACCGGGCTCAGGGTGGCTAACACCGGTATAAAAACAATTGATTGAAATACAACTTAAAAACAAGTTTAAAATACAACATTAAAATGCAGCCTCATTTCAGTAGAAACTCAAATCAAAAACTTTTGGGGGATGAAAACGTCAAGTCTTCACCAAGGCTAACTATCCAGACTGGTCCTATGTGGGCCAGAAAAAAGCCAGGGAAGTCCCCAAATAGGAGCTCTATCACAGAAGGAAAGAGGGGAAGGGGATCAAGTTGATTCCAAGCCAAAGGCCAGGCGGAACAACTCTGTCTTACAGGCCTTGCGGAAAGAAAACAGATCCCTCAGGGCCCTGGTCTCATGAGACAGAACGTTACACCAGCCGGGGCCAGTGTTGAAAAGGCCCTGGCTCTGGCTGAGGCTAATCTGACTTCCTTAGGGCCCAGGACCTCTAGGGTGTTGCTATTTATGGACCTTAAGGTCCTCCACGGGGCATACCGGAAGAGGCGGTCCCATAGGTACGAGGGTCCTAGGCCGTGAGTTTTCATGTTTTCTGCAGACCATAACTAGGAATGTTTCCAGGTTGACCCAGTTGTGGTCTGTAGCTACCTCTCTACTCTCCCCAAATCAAGCATTCGGTGTGATGTGAAATCTTGCCTGATTCAGTACCTATAAGAATTTGGTTTGATCACAGAATCACAGAATTGCAGAGTCAGAAGGGGCACCAAGGGTCATCTAGTCCAACCCCCTGCAGTGCAGGAATGATAACGTATAACAGGAATGGTATCACATCCCATTTACTATTTCTTTTTATCAGATTCAAGAGCTCGGGCTGCAACAAACACTCTTCCGAAAAAAGCTTGCTCTAGCTTCCAGAACATAAATTAGGTGGCTGTTGTAAAGATTCTTAAATCTTAATTACCATATTTTTTGCTCTATAATACTCACTTTTTCCCTCCTAAAAAGTAAGGGGAAATGTGTGTGCGTCTTATGGAGCGAATGCAGGCTACACAGCTATCCCAGAAGCCAGAACAGCAAGAGGGATTGCTGCTTTCACTGCACAGCGATCCCTCTTGTTGTTCTGGCTTCTGAGATTCAGAATATTTTTTCCCTTCTTTTTCTTCTCCAAAAACTAGGTGCGTCTTGTGGTCTGGTGCGTCTTATAGAGCAAAAAATACGGTAACTCACAAAACCATTGAATTCATAATTGCAGGGGTTCTTAATTGTTCCAGAAATGAGCAGGCATCCTCTTTATACAGAAATCGCTTTCACCCCACACTGGTCCACCCACTAGATGTTCTCTGTTGTATAATCATACTGTTCTACAAGATGCGACTCTTAATCGCGGGGTCTTGGGTTTGAATCTCAGGGTCGCTGGGCGAAAAGATCCCTGCATTGAAGAGGGTTGGGCCAGATGATCCAGTCTTAGGGTTCTACATGCTGCTTCATGCGGATCATTGCTCACTTTTGGGTGCAATCCTGATTCTCCTCCTTCAGATTCAGCCCTGCTGATAACTCTTAACTAACGCAGTCATCCCAGGGGAATCGTAATGCAAAAGTTAATCTTAACACAAAAGTTCAAAGTAAAAGTAAATCAGTGTATTATGCAGGATGCTGGTGAGCATCCTACGAGCCCCGGGACAGAAGAAGAGCAGAATCATGTCATGCTTAGATGTTCTTCCAAATCAGGGGGAAATAAATGAAAGAAGAAAGAGACGTTTGGTGTTGATTTGGTTTACCTATTCACACTTCCCTTGTGCAATGTTACCTGTTGAGGTGAAACCAGTTGCAACTGCTGGGAGCGAGAAACTGCCAGGTGCCTGTTGCATGTTCCTTCGAGCCTGTGTTTGCCAGGAAATAAATGGTTGCTTGGTGCCAAAAGACACATGCAAGGAAGGAGTGCAACGCATGCACTGCAATCTGTGCCAGCATCCTCGCTTCCCACTCCTTTCTCCTAAGAAAGCCCTTCTTCACGCAGCGTAGGTAATCTGCAGAACTCACTCCTGCAGGAGGGCAGTGGTGGTCCTCAACTTGCATGGCTTCAGTGGCATAGCATGGGTTGCCAGGGCCTGGGGCTGCACAGAGTGGATGGGAAATGGGCGGAGTACGCATGCACATTCAGCTACCTAATTACATCCCCATCACCCAGGAGATGGTGATGGTGATGATGATTTATACCCCATCCATTCTCTTCTTATGTTCCTATGGATAGTCTGATTCACTATAAGGCAGTTTCCTATGTTCCCATGAACAAAACTCTCTGCAAGTCACGAAGCTGAGAAAAGGGATCCTTTCTTCAATCTCTCCTGAATCCATGCCCTGTCAGTTTCACGGAACGGCCTGAAATGACCTCACGGGATCTCTCCTTTCGTCCTGGTCTGAAAGGAGGCGATCTGTTCATTGGGGCTGCGACTTTTATTTTATTCATTTACTTTAGGAAACCTAAATGCTGCTCAATTGTAAAAACGTAGACAAACCCAGAAGTCTCAAAAACTTCTTAAAAGGTAAAAGTAAAGGGACCCCTGACCGTTAGGTCCAGTTGGGGCCGACTCTGGAGTTGCGGTGCTCATCTCGCTTTACTGGCCGAGGGAGCCGGCGTACAGCTTCCGGGTCATGTGGCCAGCATGACTAAGCTGCTTCTGGTGAACCAGAGCAGTGCACAGAAACGCCGTTTACCTTCCCGCCGGAGTGGTACCTATTTATCTACTTGCACTTTTTGTGCTTTCGAACTGCTAGGTTGGCAGGAGCAGGGACTGAGCAACGGGAGCTCACCCCGTCACGGGGATTCAAACCACCGACCTGATCGGCAAGTCCTAGGCTCTGTGGTTTAACCCACTTGCCACCTGCGTCCCCAAAAGCTTCTTACCAAAAGATAAAATAAAAATTACAGCCGATGCGCAAAAGTTCAAATATTAAAGCAGGTTGAAATCTGAAGCCTCCGATTCTTTTCTTTCCAGAGGGGAGTCGACATTTGCAAAATTTCAAAATACCCTGAGTGGTTGCTTTATTCACCCACTATGATCACATCACCGACTTCGACTTCTAGTCCTGGGATAATGTGGTTGTCTGAAGAGCAATGTCTGGCTTGAGGTGCCTGCCCTGCCCTGTGGAAGCTGCAGGAGTGGTTTTTCCAGTAGCGGCACCTCAGAGGTGTGCAAGGTCTCTGCAGCATCACGATACACTTGCTGACCTTTCCAACGGGGTGCAGTTATGCAAAGCCCTGTGGTTTTGGGTCATCTCAGGAGTCATAAGAAGAACCGTGCAGGATCAGGCCAAAGATCCACCTGCCCAGCCTCTGCTGCCCAACAGCGGCAAGTAGGGAATCAAGGCAAGAGGGTTCTCTGCCCGTTCGCCACCTCCGGCAAGCGACATTCAGAGATACACTGATTCTAAACATTGATGTTCCATAGAGGCTCCGAGTCACAGCTACGATGAAATGTTTTATCACTCGTTTGCCACCTGGGGGTTCCTTTCCTTCAAATTCTTTATTTTTTTATTTTCAGGTAGGTAGCTGTGTTGGTCCGACGCAGTCAACATAAAAATAATAAAAGTAAAAAATTGTCCAGTAGCACCTTATTGACCAAGTTTGTTCTGGTATAAGCTTTCGTATAAGCTTTTTTAGTTGGTCTATAAGGTGCTAGTAAAGGTAAAGGGGTAAAGGGACCCCTGAACATTAGGTCCAGTCGTGACCGACTCTGGGGTTGCGGCGCTCATCTCGCTCTATAGGCCGAGGGAGCCGGCATTTGTCCGCAGACAGCTTCTGGGTCATGTGGCCAGCATGACTAAGCCGCTTCTGGCGAACCAGAGCAGTGCACGGAAACGCCGTTTACCTTTCCGCCGGAGCGGTACCTATTTATCTACTTGTACTTTGACATGCTTTTGAACTGCTAGGTTGGCAGGAGCAAGGACCGAGCAACGGGAGCTCACCCCGTTGCAGGGATTCGAACCGCCGACCTTCTGATCGGCAAGCCCTAGGCTCTGTGGTTTAACCCACAGCACCACCCGCATCCCCTATGAGGTGCTACTGGACATTTTATTTTATTTTATTTTTTATCTTCATTGTTTTAATAACTACAGGCAGTTACAGCAAAAAACAAACAAACCAAAAACAACAACACCCAGAAAAAACGAAATAAAAATTTGCTTTTTTAATCAGATGTCACACTTGCCAGTGAATAAGTATAGCATATATACTGAGTCAATCATGAAACATACCCAAAGCATGTGTATTTTATAATTACAAGGGGCTTCCATGGCCTAAATCAAAGCAATTACATTTTTTTTGTACATTTCAAAAACGAGATTTGAAAGCAGCCTTGAACTATACTGAATCAAGACACTTGCTTAGAGCTGTGGGAGCTGACACTTCTATGTTTAATTAAAAACACATTTATTCAAAAGCTTTGTCCTCTGCCATAATACCACAAAACGACCTCTGCAATCCTCAGTCCTTCATCACAGGAAGGTGACAGTCCCGAGTCACCGTGTTTGTAGCACAACAAGGATGCTTTAGCCGTGACTCCTGCCTTGCAGAGGGCTGGACTAGATGACACATGGGACCCCTTCCAACTGTACAATTCTATGGAATTAGACCAAATGCTGTGGAAGCCATCTCGAACACTTTGACCCCTAATAATAATAATAATAATAATAATAATAATTTTTTATTTATACCCAACCCCTTCCTGGTTCAGAAAACTGGGCTCAGGGCAGCTAACAACAAATTTAAAAACTTAATTGATGCAACAAAAAACAGCATAAAATACAGTATAAAACGTGAATAACAATAAATTCAGAATTCAATAATCAATTTAGGGGGGGAAATCCATCCAATAAACATTAGATGATCACCAGGGCTAGCTAGCTAAGTTAGTCCTATTTGGGCCAACGAGGAGACCAGGGGAGAATTAGCTGTGGGATCTTCATTAGCGGGTAATCTTCATAAAAAGGGGAGGGAGAGGGAAGGAAGGGGAATAAAAGACCAGGAAGCCAGGTGGAATAGCTCTGCCTTATAGGCCCTGCGGAAGGAAGTTAAATCCTGCAGGGCCCTGGTCTCTTGGGACAGAGCATTCCACTAGGTCGGGGCCATCACTGAAAAGCCCCTGGCCCTGGTGGAGGATAATCTGACTTCCTTAGGGCCCAAGACGTCTAAACTATAGTTATTCATGGACCTTAAGGTCCTCTGTGGGGCAGATCAGGAGAGGCGGTCCCGTAAATACGAGGGCCCTAAGTAGTAGTAGTAATAATTTTATTATTTATACCCCGCCCATCTGGCTGGGTTTCCCCAGCCACTCTGGGCGGCATCCAACAGGATATTAAAAACACAATAAAAGGTCGAACATTAAAAGCTTCCCTAAAGAGGGCTGCCTTCAGATGTCTTCTAAAAGCCAGGTAGTTGTTCTTCTCTTTGACATCTGATGGGAGGGCATTCCACAGGGCAGGCGCCACGACCGAGAAGGCCCTCTGCCTGGTTCCCTGTAACTTTGCTTCTCCCAGTGAGGAAACCACCAGAAAGCCCTCGGTGCTGGACTGCAGTGTCCGGGCTGGATGATGGGGGTGGAGACGCTCCTTCAGGTCTACTGGGCCGAGGCAACAAATGATTTCTGGAAGCAACACTTGCCCCTGGCGATGGGCTGTTCCTGAAGTCACGGCACCTGTGAGTCACCCTCCCACATTCCATTGTTCACAGACGTTCCCTTCCAGCTGGGAAGGAGTACAGATACAGCCCATCCCCTGCTCAGCCCATCGCCCCGGCACACCTCAAAAGTTTATGATCAGCCCTAGAGGATCCAGTTCAAGGCAAAGGAGATCCCTTGAAGATGAAGATCTGCTTCTTTGTCCCTCTCTGCGTGCTGCTCCTCCTCTGCATAAACGAAGGTAAGCCTCCCCAACTTTGACAGCACAAGCTGCTAGTCCCTCTTAATTCCAAGAACGGTGGAATTTTGGCTGTTTTTCAGGAAACGCAGACCAGCCTCAGGCACGGATGGGGATAATTGTTTCCAGCTCACCTGCCTGTGTTATCGCGGACGGCAGGAATTTGCTAGCATTCCTCGCAAAGATGTTGTAAAACCCAGATCACTACAATAAGTCTCTGGATACTGTATTAAGTGTGTGTGTGTGTGTGTGTGTGTGTGTGTGTGTGTGATCTGTCAGGCTATCTGTCAGCGAACCTATATTGCAGGGGATTGGATGACCTTTGGAGGCCCCTCCAGCCCTACAATTCAACGACTCTTCTTCAAGTCTCTGCCTCAAATAGGATTTTGTGCAACAAGGACTCGTGGTACAGTCTCCGAGAAAAGGAACAAATGACCCCTTTGTCCTTGAACTGGGAGCCTCATCCCATTAAGCACTGTTATGAGTTTGTGGTGTTAAGCTGGGTGCCAGACCCCGTAATCCCTGGATCCAGTAAGTGATAGAATTTAATCAAGGCTTCTGAAACCCGGAAGTGTTTTGGCGCTCACGCATGCACAGAAGTGGTCCTCTGGTTGAGAAAACTTTGGGATACGGTTGGACCTCTGGAACAGATCCCGTTCGCAACCGGAAGTACCACTGTATTATGTCCCACATCTTTCTCCCAATGTATCATCACATGCTTTTGCTTTAATTCAATAACTCCTTGCATTGTCTTTCCCCAGTTCACCCGCTGATGTGCTTCACATGCGAACCATCGTCCAGCAACTGGTCTTGCCTGAAGGCCGTCAAGTGCTCGGAGAATGACAAGCACTGCGTGACCACAGTCGCCTCTTTCAGGATTGGTAAGTTGAAAGCAGGTTTCCAGTTCAGCAGGACAATTAACCCATTTTTTAAGCTCTAAATGTTGCAGCGAAAGCAACAACAACAACAACAACAACAACAACAAACAACATATTATTTATACCCCGCCCATCTGGCTGGGTTTCCCCAGCCACTCTGGGCAGCTTCCAACAGAATATTAAAATACAATAGTCTATTCAACATTAAAAGCTTCCCTAAACAGGGCTGCCTTCAGATGTCTTCTAAAAGTCTGGTAGTTGTTTTTCTCTGATGGGGAGGGCATTCCACAGGGCAGGGCGCCACCACCAAAAAAGCCCCTCTGCCTGGTTCCCTGTAACTTGGCTTCTCGCAGCGAGGGAACCACCAGAAGGCCCTTGGAGCTGGACCTCAGTGTCCGGGCAGAATGATGGGGGTGGAGATGCTCCTTCAGGTATACTGGTCTGAGGCTGTTTAGGTCTTTAAAGTTCAGCACCAACACTTTGAATTTTGCTCGGAAACGTACTGGGAGCCAGTGTAGGTCTTTCAAGACCGGTGTTATGTGGTCTCGACGGTTGCTCACCAGTCTAGCTGCCGCATTCTGGATTTATTGCAGTTTCCGGGTCACCTTCAAAGGTAGCCCCACGTAGAGCGCATAGCAGTAGTCCAAGCAGGAGATAACCAGAGCATGCACCACTCTGGCAAGACAGTCCGCGGGCAGGTAGGGTCTCATCCTGCGTACCAGATGGAGCTGATAAACAGCTGCCCTGGACACAGAATTGACCTGCGCCTCCATGGACAGCTGTGAGTCCAAAATGACTCCCAGGCCGCACACCTGGTCCTTCAGGGGCACAGTTACCCCATTCAGGACCAGGGAGTCCCCCAAACCTGCCTTCCTCTTGTCCCCCCAAAACAGTACTTCTGTCTTGTCAGGATTCAACAAAGCAACATTTGGTCATGTGCTTTTTGGGCAGAATGTTCCAGGATCGATGCCAGGAAACAGGGAATTATCTTCACATGTGGTGGGGGTGTAAATATGTTCAATATTATTTTTCGCAAAAGGAGATAACAGAAATCACTGGGTTAAAGCTGACCGAAAGTCCAGAGGTAGCATTATTATCCATTTACGATGGGGTGGAAGGTTCGCAGGCTATGAAGGACTCGCTCACAAATTTATTGACAGCTGCACGAAGTATTATAAGCCAGGAAGTGGAAGGGGCAAGCAGAATATAAAATGGAAGAATGGTATAAAGAGGTGTGGGATATAGCTATTAACGATAAATTAACACGTGCCATTAAGGAAAGGCCGGGAATATGCAGGTGAAATGATTCTGAGGAAATCTGGAAGGTGTTTGTAGATTTTGTATTGTTAAAAAGGAAAGAGATCAAACCATCGCAAGAGGTGTTAAAATTGTGGGAGGTTGGATAGCTACAATGGAATGGTCTTGGTGGTGAGGTGCACATTTTTATTCTTATTTATTTATTTACTTTGTCTAAACAAACAAACAATTCTCAGGAGGGGTGGCATTTGGGACCCACCCGGTAGCTGAGATTCTGGTCTCCTGCCCTGAAATCTAGCCCTTTTTGCAGAAACTGTCAATCCTTGCCAAAATCCAGCTCAAGGTAACAGGGCTGTGGAAGAACCCTCCTTTTCTGTTTGATACTGTCCCACCATAGAATAGAATAGAATAGAATAGAATAGAATAGAATAGAATAGAATAGAATCATAGAGTTGGAAGAGACCACAAGGGCCATCGAGTCCAACCCCCTGCCAAGCAGGAAACACCATCAGAGCACTCCTGGCATATGGTTGTCAAGCCTCTGCTTAAAGACCTCCAAAGAAGGAGACTCCACCACACTCCTTGGCAGCAAATTCCACTGTCGAACAGCTCTTACTGTCAGGAAGTTCTTCCTAATGTTTAGGTGGAATCTTCTTTCTTGTAGTTTGGATCCATTGCTCCGTGTCCGCTTCTCTGGAGCAGCAGAAAACAACCTTTCTCCCTCCTCTATATGACATCCTTTTATATATTTGAACATGGCTATCATATCACCCCTTAACCTCCTCTTCTCCAGGCTAAACATGCCCAGCTCCCTTAGCCATTCCTCATAAGGCATCGTTTCCAGTCCTTTGACCATTTTGGTTGCCCTCCTCTGGACACGTTCCAGTTTGTCAGTGTCCTTCTTGAATTGTGGTGCCCAGAACTGGACACAGTACTCCAGGTGAGGTCTGACCAGAGCAGAATACAGTGGCACTATTACTTCCCTTGATCTAGATGCTATACTCCTATTGATGCAGCCCAGAATTGCATTGGCTTTTTTAGCTGCCGCGTCACACTGTCGGCTCATGTCAAGTTTGTGGTCAACCAAGACTCCTAGATCCTTTTCACATGTACTGCTCTCAAGCCAGATGTCACCCATCTTGTATTTGTGCCTCTCATTTTTTTTGCCCAAGTGCAATACTTTACATTTCTCCCTGTTAAAGTTCATCTTGTTTGTTTTGGCCCAGTTCTCTAATCTGTCAAGGTCGTTTTGAAGTGTGATCCTGTCCTCTGGGGTGTTAGCCACCCCTCCCAGTTTGGTGTCATCTGCAAATTTGATCAGGATGCCCTTGAGTCCATCATCCAAGTCGTTGATAAAGATGTTGAATAAGACCGGGCCCAAGACAGAACCCTGTGGCACCCCACTAGTCACTCTTCTCCAGGATGAAGAGGAACCATTGATGAGCACCCTTTGGGTTCGGTCAGCCAGCCGCTTACCAACCACCACCAATGGAAAGCTTTTAATTGCCCAGCCCAGGAGATTGCTGATTTCCCCGCATCCACAACTGGCAAACAGGAAGGCCTGTTTTTATCTCGCACATAAAAACATGAGAAGAACCTGCTGGATCAGGGGCCATCTAGTGCGGCATTCTCTTCTTACAGGGACCAACCAGATGCCCCAATGGGAATCTGGGTGCAAGAGCTACTCTCCCCTCCTGCGGTTTCGGGCAACCGGTGCTAAGCCACTTTAGTTAACTGTGAGATATTAAATGCAGGTCACAATTCTCAGGGTCCTTGGACCCTTCAGAATACAGTCTGAACAAAATTGGTGAAGCAGCAAAGAATTTATTGATTGCAACAGCATTCTTGCAAGAACAGGGGCCCGAAATCAGGCACATCCAAATCCAGCAAAACACAAGCTTATATCACCAATCCTCGAATACAAGGTTCCCTTCTCTGCTCCCCATTGGCTAGGGACGTGCAGGGTTTACAGCCTATCACCACCACCTACCGTATTTTTCGCTCTATAAGACACACTTTTGCCCTCCTAAAAAGTAAGGGGAAATGTGTGTGCGTCTTATGGAGCGAATGCAGGCTGCACAGCTATCCCAGAAGCCAGAACAGCAAGAGGGATTGCTGCGCAGCGCTCCCTCTCGCTGTTCTAGCTTTTGGCTTAGCCGAGCGAAGCCTCTTCAGGGCAGGGGGAGCCTTCATCCCGCTGCCCTGAAGAGGCTTCACGCGGCTATCCCTGAAGCCAGAACAGCTGTGCAGCACTCCCTCTTGCTGTTCTGGCTACTGGGATTCAGAATATTTTTTTTCTTGTTTTCCTCCTCCAAAAACTAGGTGCGTCTTATGGTCCGGTGCGTCTTATAGAGCGAAAAACATGGTAATTAAAATACTAAAATCCATGCCTTTGTTGTCATATCCCATTCCTCTGAATTTCACGACCACCACTCATGATTATTTTTGCGTGGACAGGCGGAGTCCCCCAAACCCTGGGTGGCCTCCGTGTGGAATAACGACTCAAGACAACGTGCTATGGGATTAAAATTGGCCACAACTTTATTATGTTTCAGATGTGGGTAGACCTTGGCTCAGGCATTATCCCTCCCAGTCGCCCAACGGGGATCTGGGGAACATCAGGGTTATCCAAAGTGGGGGGGGGGGAATGGGCTGGCTCTTGGAGATCATATGTTCAAGCAGAGAGAGCCCGCTCCCGTTACGCCGCCGTCGCAGGGGAGAGCAATGACGACCTCTAGGCGTACGGCCAACGCCTCCCCTCAAACAACCCCTTTAACGGGGAATCGCTGCCGCAAAGAGAAGGGGGGCATGGGTCACTGCTACACCCACCCCCATTTAGGGAAGATAGACTAAAGGATTCCCCCAAGGCCTGGGCTGATACCGCCAAAGTTGTGACGTTTTGCTACGGGAAAGGCAAACCTGCCAATGCAGGAGATTTCCTTTCCGGCCCTTCCACAGCGACCTTGACGTAGCAGCGCCCGCGTACCTGTGGAGAAAAGGTTAACCTGCAAAAGAAGTCTTAACTGAGGGAGGGCAGGGTGGGAGAAGCTCTGCAGCCAACTGACGATTCCCAGGTAAGATCCTCCCCCTATTGTGTGGGCAGGTAGTCCCTCCCCCTACCTGGCCTGATCACCTTGGCAACACCTCCCCAGGCAGGATTGGGCAACTAACAAAACAAAACAACACAAGCAACACAATGGCCAGTATACTAGATCGCACTGCAATTCTTATTGCATAATAGACATAATTTGGTACAACAAAACAAAACAAAATGTGTACACTTGTAAATTTTCTAATATGTTTGAAATCAAATGAACACATGTCTGTCAATCTTTGAAAGTCCATAGAAGTACAGTGGTACCTCGGGTTAAGTACTTAATTCGTTCCGGAGGTCCGTACTTAACCTGAAACTGTTCTTAACCTGAAGCACCACTTTAGCTAATGGGGCCTCCTGCTGCCGCCGCGCCGCCGGAGCACAATTTCTGTTCTCATCCTGAAGCAAAGTTCTTAACCTGAAGCACTATTTCTGGGTTAGCGGAGTGTGTAACCTGAAGCATATGTAACCTGAAGTGTATGTAACCCGAGGTACCACTGTATAATAAATCTATAGTTGAAACAAAGTAATAGATGTTTTCCTGTGGGCTAAGCGGTAAAACTTTTTAGGCGTTTATGGTGCCGAAGTAGTAAGTGAATAACGACATAGACAGTGATCCTGGATAATCTGACCTCCAGGTATCCCACCTGGGGAAGGCGAAGCCAAGCCTGTGCTAATGGAGCCGCATAGGGTCCAGGGGGCTGCGCACAACCACACAAAGGCCGCCCCCCATTTAATGTGGGGAGCAGTCATTGTTCATGCTTTCAGGCGTTTTACACATTGACTCAAGGGATAAAGCCACATTATGAGCGGTTTCTACATCTGCTGACACATACAGTTTTTCAGGCGTTCTAACCACAAGCTTCTAAAGTTTTAAGCAAGTTTGCGGTTGTCTAACTGGAGCAACCATTTGACTTTTTGAAAACGCAAGCAAGCAACCTTTCCTTTTTGGTTCCTGGGAAAAAAGCAGCACATTTTTTATTCCTCACATTAACCTGTAAACTGTTTTCTCCTTGCAACCCAGGTGGGGCCAGGGAATAACGCTTTCCCCTTCTCTTCCCCTTTCCATTTTGAAGGCTTCTTGACTGTCAGAAAGAGAATCACCAAGAAGTGTTCGCCGAGCTGCCCGAATCTGAACATGGATATGGGCATTGCTGCCTTCCAGACGTCCTGTTGCCAAAGTTTCCTCTGCAACCTTTTCGGACACATCACAGCTAAAAACGAGACCCGGTGACGGGCTCTGTGTTCGGATCTGTGTTCAGATGCGACCCACTTCCTGGTGGCCATTTGAGAAGCTATCTTAGCATAGGGCTACCAGATCTCAAGGCCAGATCTGCCATTTTCACTCTGTCCTCCTAGGCGTGCAGTGATAAAACTGCTATCACATCCGAAGCTTTTCTTTTAGGGATTATAGAAACGGATATACAGTGCTACCTTGGTTTTCAAACTTAATCCGTTCCGTAAGTCCGTTCCAAAACCAAAGCGTTCCAAAACCAAGGCGCGCTTTCCCATAGAAGGTACTGCAAAATGGATCAATCCGTTCCAGACTTTTAAAAACAACACCAAAACAGCAATCTAACATGAATTTTACTATCTGAGATCATTGATCCATAAATGTGCCCTACTAAAGCAAACAGTCTAATTGGTCAATATCTAAAAGATATGGAGCATCAGAACAACCCGGCCACTATAAGGAAATTCTGCCCTTGGTATGTTCATTTTCCACCTCTCCATTTTGATTCTCTGGCCCCATATCTGCACAAACTTCTTATCCCAAAATACAGACATGCTTTTACACTTGAACCATAGAATTGTAGGGTTGGAATGGCGCCCCGAGGGTCATCTAATGCAAACCCAAATCAGTCATTTTTAACAGTAAAAGCTACTCTGAAAATTTATTATCCCAAAAATGAAACCTCCATCTGGTTGTAAAATTAAGATTATACTAGCAAGAACGAGTCTTTCTGTAAAAAAAAAGAAAAGATTTAAATCAAGTCTTACTGACTAGTGATTTAAATTGTGATTTAAATCAAATCTGTCAACCTGCTCAATGAGGGAGACTGCCTGTGAAAAAATCAAAAGCTTCTGGAACACAGTGTATAATGATCTTAAAAAAAAAATGTTTAAGTACAGTGGTGCCTCGCAAGACAAAATTAATCCGTTCCGGGAGTCTCTTCGTCTAGCGGTTTTTTTGTCTTGCGAAGCAACCCTATTAGCAGCTTAGCGGATTAGCGCTATTAGCGGTTTAGCGGCTATTAAAGGCTTAGCAGCTATTAAAGGATTAGCGGATTAGCAGCTAAAAGGCTATTAGCGGCTTAGCGGCTTAGAAAAGGGGGGGGAGCGAAAAAAAATCGGAACACTTGCAAGACGTTTTCGTCTTGCAAAGCAAGCCCATAAGGAAAATCGTCTTGTGAAGCAGCTCAAAAACGGAAAACCCTTTCGTCTAGCGGGTTTTCCGTCTTGCGAGGCATTCGTCTTGCGGGGCACCACTGTATAACTTTATGAAAAATACAAAAGCTTTTCTACAAGGGATAACGGACATAGGTATAGCAAGAGAAGATCAGAAAGTATTCCTCTGTGCCACAGGAGCGGCAAGGATCCTAATTGCTATAAACTGGAAAAAAGAAACTGTGCCAACAAAAAAGGAATGGCAAGACAAACTGTTGAACTGGCTAGTCAACAGAGGCAATTGGAGATCACACTAGACAAGAGTTTCAAAAAGCATGGGGGAAATGCAGAGAATACTTCACAAAACTGTGCCCTAAAATACATACCTGGACTTGTTCCGATTAATGTCTGCAGGAGACTTTGTGGATATTTAAGTTATAATTAGAAAAATCTTAATAATTATTCATAAAGGAAACAGCTTATAAGAAGTAAATAAGGAGGCCAGATACAGGATAAAGGAAGTCTTTTATTTGGTTGTTTGTATTGTTGTATGTTATGCTCATTGTATTTCTGTATTGGGAGGGGTGGGGGGTTTATGTGACGTTGTAAATAAAATTTTCAATAAAAATTAAATTAAAAAACAAAAACAAATCTGCCCTGCTTTCAAGTGACCCGTTTTCTGCGCATCCATCCTGATTCTCTTGCAGGTTGGTTGCATAACGTTGCATTGAGCAACCATCTCGCCAGAGTGGTGCATGCTCTAGTTATCTCCCGCTTGGACTACTGCAATGCGCTCTACGTTGGGCTACCTTTGAAGGTGACCCGGAAACTACAACTAATCCAGAATGCGGCAGTGTGCTGGTCCCGGGGGTAAGGTACCTTGGGTGTAGCAGAGTCCACACGAAGAGGGGCAAGGTCCGAGGCAGAGAGCCGGGCGGGGAACAGGAACGCTGGAACAGGAGGCTGTGCAGGGAACAGGAACACCGGATGGTCGGGAACAGGAGGCCGAGCAGGGAACAGGAGTACCGGATAGTCAGGAACAGGAAGCCGAGCAGGGAACAGGAGTACCGGATAGTCAGGAACAGGAGGCCGAGCAGGGATCAGGAACACAGGAAGGTCCGAAGCCAACAACGACGTTGCTCCCGCAACCTGGGGCCGGGCTGACTGGGCTTTTATCCTCTTCTAAGGCCAGGGGCGGCCCCGGCCCCCAGGAGCCCCGCCTTCTCTGGCCTTAAGGCGAGCACTCCTCCTGGGGGCAACCAGTTCCCTTCGCCTCTCTGCTCTAAGCCTCTGCAGATCAGGAGAGGCCGAAGGGTTACTGGGCCCTGGAGGAGGCTCACCTGTGGCCACTGAGTCGTCAAGCCTCTCTGGGGCCAGAAGGGCTTCACCTGGGGCCAGCTCCTGATGCACTGCCACAGGTGCAGGCTCTTCAGCATCTAGGCCTTGCCCCAGTTCAGCCGGCCCTGGAGGCGGGGACTCCTGTGCAGGCTGGGATTCCTCTGTTTCATCCTCCGAATCGGAATCCCAGGCCATCACACCATCCCCCCTCCCAGGCCCCCCCCTCAACCGAGGGTCCGGACCCGGCTTGCCGGGGTACGTCGCATGGAACTCTTGGAGGCAGGCAGGTGCGTGGACGTTGGCCGCTGGTTCCCAGGAACGGTCCTCCGGTCCGTACCCCTTCCAGTCAATGAGATACTGCAGCTTTCCCCTGCGGTATCGGGAGTCCAGGATGCGTTCCACCTCGTACTAAGGCTCTCCCCGAACCAACACTGGCTGCGGTCGGGGACGGTTCGGATGGAACTCGTCGGGTGGGGCCACCGGACTCAAAAGGGACCTGTGGAAGACCGGGTGAACCTTCAGGGTTGCGGGTAACCGGAGACGAAATGCCACAGGAGAGACTTGGTCTACGATAGGGAATATAAGCGACTCACTGGTAAAGGCGCTCCGGGTTGGAGGTCTATGCCGCAGTCAAAAGGCCGATGCGGCGGCAGCTGGTCTGCCCCCCGTTCCTCAAACACGTCCTGGTAGTCCTGGTACACGGCTGGGAGCGTGGGTGCTGCCTCCTCTGAGGGCGCGGCCGCCAGCGTTCCGGATTGAGCATGGGAACATGGGTCCGGGAAGTGCACGGTCCGTTTGACCCAGTTAATCTGAACGTTGTGGGCTTCCAGCCAGTCCATCCCGAGCACCAGGGGGAAGCGGGGCATAGAGGCAATGTCCAAAGTTCGCAACTCCCGGTGCTGCTGGAGACACAGGACCAGGGGCTGGGTCTCCTGAGTAACGGCACCTGAACGCAGAAGTCGTCCGTCAATCGCTTCCACCTGGACCGGTACTGGCTTGTTCCGAAGTGGCACCTGATGATGGGCGGCAAAAGCAGCGTCCATATAGGAGCGGGTTGCCCCTGAATCTACCAAAGCATGGGTGAGGATCCAGGGCCCACCTGGAGGGTATAAACGTACCGAAACCATAAGATGTTGCAAGTCCATTGGTGCGGGCCCATTCTGTACGGTTTGGGACCCCCGGTAGCTAGGGCCATCAGCTACTGGGGTTGGCGGTTTCCCTGCGGCTGGCGTTTCTCAGGGCAGGACCGAGCGAAGTGTCCACTTCCGCCACAGTAAAGACAGAGATTTCCCTCCCGACGCCGCGCCTTCTCTGCGGGGGAAAGGCGTGGCCGCACTGCCCCGAGCTGCATAGGCTCCTCCGTTAAATCAGTTGTGACTGTGGGGCTGCCGGAAAAAGCTGGTGCCGTGAACTGGAAGTGTCGGCGACCCCGGGCCTGACGACGATCCTCCAACCGGTCGTCTATTTGTAGACTCCGTTGAATGATAGTGTCCAGTGTGGTGGGGCATTCCATTGTGGCCAACTGGTCCAGTACCTCGTCCGAAAGCCCTTCGAGATACTGGTCCCGCAGTGCCGAGTCATTCCAGGTCAAGTCCTGTGCCAACAGCCGAAACTCCGTGGTATATGTGGCCACCGTGGACTTGCCCTGTTTCAAACGCCGATTCGCCCGGTTGGCTTGACTCTCTTTCTGGGGGTTGCCGAACGCGGCCTCCAAACGATTGCAAAACCCCGTATAGTCTGCCAGCAAGGGGGAGTCTTGCCTGAGTAGCGGCAACGCCCACTTGGCCGCCTGGTCCTTTAACAAACTAATCAAAAAGTGCACCTTGGTGCGGTCGTCAGGAAAGTTCCGGGCTCGCCCCTGAATATACAGCTTGGCCTGGGCCAGGAACATGGGAAAGCTGGCCGGGGCTCCATCAAATTTCTCAGGCAAAGCCACTGGGTACTTGCCCGGAGCCGGGGCGTCGGCCCCAGGAGCCGGTAGGGCTTCCAAGCGTTGCTGAAGTGCCACAACCGCGTCGCTGAGCTGCTGCACGGTGTGAGTCAAGGCCTGGTTCTCCTGGGCCAAAGCCACCAGTGCAGCCGCCTGTTCAGCCATGGCCTCTGGCTCTTCCCGAACACACCTCTACGAAGGGGGAGTGCGGGTGTGGCGGGAGCAAACTGTGCTGGTCCCGGGGGTAAGGTACCTTGGGTGTAGCAGAGTCCACACGAAGAGGGGCAAGGTCCGAGGCAGAGAGCCGGGCGGGGAACAGGAACGCTGGAACAGGAGGCTGTGCAGGGAACAGGAACACCGGATGGTCGGGAACAGGAGGCCGAGCAGGGAACAGGAGTACCGGATAGTCAGGAACAGGAGGCCGAGCAGGGATCAGGAACACAGGAAGGTCCGAAGCCAACAACGACGTTGCTCCCGCAACCTGGGGCTGGGCTGACTGGGCTTTTATCCTCTTCTAAGGCCAGGGGCGGTCCCGGCCCCCAGGAGCCCCGCCTCCTCTGGCCTTAAGGCGAGCACTCCTCCTGGGGGCAACCAGTTCCCTTCGCCTCTCTGCTCTAAGCCTCTGCAGATCAGGAGAGGCCGAAGGGTTACTGGGCCCTGGAGGAGGCTCACCTGTGGCCACTGAGTCGTCAAGCCTCTCTGGGGCCAGAAGGGCTTCACCTGGGGCCAGCTCCTGATGCACTGCCACAGGTGCAGGCTCTTCAGCATCTAGGCCTTGCCCCAGTTCAGCCGGCCCTGGAGG